GAGTGGCAAGCCAGTTTAGCAGATCTAGAAGCACTACAAATAGCCAGATGCTTGAAACCGACTGAATGCGACGAAATTATATCCACAGAACTCCATCTGTTTTGTGACGCCAGCACTACTGGATATGGTGGAGCAGCTTATCTTCGTCAAACAGACATTAATGGAAACATCTCTGTTAGTCTTTTAATGGGAAAGAGTAGAGTCGTACCCATTAAATCCATTACAGTTCCGAGATTAGAGCTTACCAGTGCTGTAACAATGGTCAGAGTAGCCCGATTACTCGAAAAGGAATTGAGAATACCCACACTTAGTCAACACTTTTGGACGGACAGTACATGCGTCTTAGGATATATACAGAATGAAGCAAGACGATTCAAGACTTTTGTTGCTCATAGAATCCAATGCATACTAGACTACACAGACATTAGCCAATGGCACCATGTTAATTCCAAAAGCAACCCAGCAGATATTGCCAGTAGAGGAGCCAAACCAGCCGACTTATTTACCTCTATATGGTTCACAGGACCCAACTTTCTTCATCAACCTCTAGAATTTTGGAACCATAAGACTGACCTTTCCTTTGGAATACCTAAAGATGATTCTGAAATGAAAACTAGTTCGAAAGTATTCGCTGTAAACGCTGACATTGTCGATATACCTGATAAATTCATTCTAAACAGACTAGAAACAGTAGGATCCTGGTATAAGATAAAGAAGATCATCTCTGTATGGTTACATCTAATCAAGATATACAAGTCACGACATCGAGGAGTTCAGATTGATCCAGAATGGAATAAAAACTTGGAGCGTCTTGAAGAAGCTGAAACTGAAATCGTAAGACTTATTCAAGCAGATAATTTTAACTACGAAGTAGAGACTTTAACCAAAGCCAGAGACAAACCAACACGAACAGTATTAAAGTCATCTTCAACTTTAATTCGACTTAATCCTTTTGCTGACAAAAATGGTTTACTTAGAATTGGAGGCCGACTTATAAATTCAGCGCTCTCCTACACTGAAAAACACCCAATCATCATACCGAAGAAAGGGCACCATCAAAGACAAGCACATTCCGGTCGAAACATCACCCTCAACTCGATACGAGATAAATATTGGTTAATTAATGGACCTTCAGCAGTTATGCCTAGTTCACACCAACGGCGAATGCTGCGCTTTAAATCGACGAGCAAAGCGCCATCATTTTTTGTTTACTTTTCCAAAAATATCACGATCTCCTAAGTAATGTTACGCTCTGATAAGCTCTGATACGAATTGGTTACGCTTTGGGGACGAATTATTTCCCGATTTGATCAGGCCTTGTTACGCTTTAAATCACGCTTTGATAAGTTTTATTAAGCTTTGATATGGTTATGACGCTTTAAATCACGCTCTGATACGATTATCAAGCTCTGTTGTGCATTGTTAAGCTCTGTTACGCATTGGAACATTTCGAAATGGCCGATTTCATGCCGCTTTTGATCAAGTGGTGACAGACCGTGAAGACTGGGGTCCCCGCTTTGAATAAAGCTCTGTTAAGCTTTCCTACGTTTTGAGTCAAGCTTTGCTGAACTTTGTTATCCTTTGTTAAGCTGTGATACGTTCTCGGCGCTTTAATCAATTCGTGACAGAGCGCCCAAAATTTTTAAAAAGTTTAAAATTTTTTGGCGCTCTTGTCGAATATCCAGCTTTGCTCAAAGCTTTCCAACGATCTATTACGACCCTGGCGCTTTAGTCGAGCTTTGTTACGCTTTGGTACCGCTTTGTACGCCGCTTTTTAGAGCGATAAAAGCGCCGTTGGTGTGAACTGAGCATTAGACATTATATATCTAAATGCATAACTTGTTCCAAATTACGAGGCAGATCAACTCCACAGATGATGAACGATCTACCAGATGACCGAGTTACAGAATCAACACCGTTCACCTACTCAGCCTGTGACCTCTTCGGACCTTTTTATATGAAAATTCGTAGATCTGAAGTTAAAAGATACGGGCTGATATTTTCCTGTCAATCCAGCAGTGCAGTCCACATCGAAGTACTATAAACAATGACAACTGACTCTTTCATATGCGGACTTAGACGATTTATTTGTCGAAGAGGCACAGTAAAGGTAATCCGATCTGATCGGGGTAGCCAGATCATTGGAGCTGCTACAGAACTAAACAAACTGACAGCAGAATTAAATCAAACTCATATTAAAAAAGACATTTTGAAGCAGTTCGACTGTGAGATCGACTTTACACCAAGTATTCCTTATGCACCACATTTTCACGGTTCCTGGGAACGCCAAATCCAGAGTATTAGACGAGTCTTTGAAGCCTTATTACATCAACACGGCAAACAGCTTAACGACGAATCATTAACCACTTTAATGGTAGAAGCTGAAGCTATTGTCAACGCACGACCACTAACTGTCGAATCAATTGCTGATCCTGAATTAAAACCGCTAGCTCCGGCTAAAATATTGACGATGAAATCCGGCATAGTATTATCACCACCAGGTGTTTTTACCAGACAGGATTTGTGACAGACAATGGAAAAAAGTCCAATACATCGCTAACCAATTCTGGTCAAGATGGAAAAAAGAAATTCTCCAAAATAATCAACCTCGACAGAAATGGCATAAACCAGTTCGTAACTTAATGGTTGGAGACATTGTCCTTGTAGCAGAAAGTAATACGCCTAGAAATACATGGCCTTTAATGATAATTGAAAAAGTCTATCCAAGTCAAGATGGTTTAGTACGCAAGGTTGATATTGCTACAACCAGAGGTGACATTAAACTCAAACGCAATAGTGCAACTACCAAACGAAAAAGAATGGTATATACAAGAGCTGCTAACCAATTAATATTACTAGTACCACGAGATGAAAATTAACATTAGTGTCTGGGGAATAAAAATATTTTGTGTTTAAATGACTTTGTTCGTATTGGAAAAATCATCCAAACTTTTTATTTGTCTGAATTTTTGAGGAGCCATGTAAGTGTCGGCTAAAAATCGTACAACAATTTTCCGAGTTAATAATAATTCAGTATTATACGAATATTTTCGATTGTAATTGAGCGGTTCCTATGTTAGATCACGTGAATCACACTGTTTATTCTTGACGCCATTGTTTTAATTGAATCGAATAACGACAAGACATTTCCAGAAATTAATCGAAAACTTGGAAGCCCCAGCGTTTGTAAGTATATATTCAAGTACCGCATTCGGGTAGCTTACATTCGTGGCAATTCAAATCAGACTTTCATATAATCTGACATTTGTTTATTTTTCTGTATTTTGTAGAAAACCACTGGTATATAAAATTGAAAAACTTCATCAAAGTTATTTATCATCACCAAATAAATCCAGTGGGTAGACCCTCCATTTAGACGTCATTCCACGAAACGGCTTTTTGAATCCTGGTTGGCATCCCGACACCGACATTTGCAGTTATATAAAAACATCCACAATTTCAGTCTGTTTTACCATCGAGAACAATTGGTTACTGACCGAACAGTTATTTTTTTTCGGAGACGTATCGGTAATATTTGCAGCCATGGTGTCCCTGGCATGGACAGTAAGCATGTGCTAAGTGGTAGGCCATTCGGTGGAGTTCTTGATTCTAAAAGACAATGTTCAGTTATAGTTCATTGTGGTGTTCTTAAGTTATTGCTATGTAATGTTTATATGCCTTGTGACAGTGTCAATATTGTAGAGTTTGACCACACTCCAAATAACATTCGCAGCATTCTGAACTAAAATTCAACTGATCATGTTAACCTGGGAGATGATTTCAACACAGACTTGTCATATAATCATTATTACAAACTATATGTATCAATCAGTTCATATCTATTAATCACTTTGAATGTGCTTATTATCTCATTCAAGTAGTGTTTTGTATATTTTTGAGAGTAAAATCAACTCTGATAGATCAACTATTGACCATTTATTTTTGTCTAATAACTATGCATCTATTCAAAACAGTGATAATTTCTCTGATCATTGCGTCATTCAGTTAGTAATGAATATTCCTACGAATTATCATGACAAAGCTTTATCTGATAAAAATCTATGATAATTTTTTGACTTATAGAAACATTATAGATGAATTTTATTATCAGAAATTGTTATACCATATGATGCATTAATGTGTGATGATTTCTCTTGTTCGGTTCATTATGAAGATATAAAGAAATACTTTGAACGTTTAATCCTAGTTACTCTGGACGCTGATCAGTTTAAAAATCCAGCAATTCCTTGGTGGAATTGGCTAAAAACACAGCCATATTCTGGCATAAGATATGGAAAGACAACAACTGTCCTAAATCAGGATATTTGGCATGTATCAGAAGAGTAACCCGGGCTATAAAATGGTTTGTGATACAGATGAGGTACTTATATCCGAGATTTGATTTCATAATAACTATCAGGACTAGAACCAATTAAATCAAATAATAGAATATTCATGCACATCTTAAAATTGTATATAAATTGTATTGAACATGTATTTTTTCTTTCTAATTGTACCATATTTTGTGAACGAATAAATTATTATTATTATAATTTCACAGCAACTTCTCCTTTATATCCTTTTGAAACTTCTCCTTTATAACCTTTTGCAGCAACTTCTCCTTTATAACCTTTTGCATCAACTTCGCCTTAATAACCTTTTGCTGCAACTTCGCCTTTATAACCTTTTGCAGAAACTTCTCCTTTATAACCTTTTGCATCAACTTCGCCTTTATAACTTTTTGCAGCAACTTCGCCTTTATAACCTTTTACAGCAACTTCTCCTTTATAACCTTTTGTAGCAACTTCTCCTTTATAACCTTTTGCAGCAACTTCTCCTATATCACCTTTTGCAGCAACTTCTCCTTTATAACCTTTTGCATCAACTTCGCCTTAATAACCTTTTGCTGCAACTTCGCCTTTATAACCTTTTGCAGAAACTTCTCCTTTATAACCTTTTGCATCAACTTCGCCTTTGTAACTTTTTGCAGCAACTTCGCCTTAATAACCTTTTGCATCAAATTCTCCTTTATAACTTTTTGTATCAACTTCTCCTATATCACCTTTTGCAGCAACTTCTCCTCTATAACCTTTTGCAGCAACTTCGCCTTTATAACATTTCGAACCTTCTCCTTTATAACCTTTTGAAACCTCTCCTATATAACCTTTTGCAGCAACTTCTCCTTTATAACCTTTTGCAGCAACTTCTCCTTTATAACCTTTTGCATCAACTTCTCCTATATCCCCTTTTGCAGCAACTTCTCCTTTATAACCTTTTGCAGCAACTTCTCCTTTATAACCTTTTGCAGCAACTTCTCCTTTATAACCTTTTGCAGCAACTTCTCCTTTATAACCTTTTGCAGCAACTTCTCCTTTATAACCTTTTGCATCAACTTCGCCTTAATAACCTTTTGCTGCAACTTCGCCTTTATAACCTTTTGCAGAAACTTCTCCTTTATAACCTTTTGCATCAACTTCGCCTTTATAACTTTTTGCAGCAACTTCGCCTTAATAACCTTTTGCAGCAACTTCGCCTTTATAACCCTTTGCAGCAACGTCGCCTTAATAACCTTTTGCAGCAACTTCTCCTTTATAACCTTTTACAGCAACTTCTCCTTTATAACCTTTTGCATCAACTTCTCCTTTATAACTTTTTGCATCAACTTCTCCTATATCACCTTTTGCAGCAACTTCTCCTCTATAACCTTTTGCAGCAACTTCGCCTTTATAACATTTCGAACCTTCTCCTTTATAACCTTTTGAAACCTCTCCTATATAACCTTTTGCAGCAACTTCTCCTTTATAACCTTTTGCAGCAACTTCTCCTTTATAACCTTTTGCATCAACTTCTCCTATATCACCTTTTGCAGCAACTTCTCCTCTATAACCTTTTGCTGCAACTTCTCCTTTATAATCTTTTGCAGCAACTTCTCCTTTATAACCTTTTGCAGCAACTTCTCCTTTATAACCTTTTGCAGCAACTTCTCCTTTATAACCTTTTGCAGCAACTTCTCCTTTATAACCTTTTGCAGCAACTTCTCCTTTATAACCTTTTGCAGCAACTTCTCCTTTATAACCTTTTGCAGCAACTTCTCCTTTATAACCTTTTGCAGCAACTTCTCCTTTATAACCTTTTGCAGCAACTTCTCCTTTATAACCTTTTGCAGCAACTTCTCCTTTATAACCTTTTGCAGCAACTTCTCCTTTATAACCTTTTGCAGCAACTTCTCCTTTATAACCTTTTGCATCAACTTCGCCTTTGTAACCTTTTGCTGCAACTTCTCCTTTATAACCTTTTGCTGCAACTTCTCCTTTATAACCTTTTGCAGCAACTTCTCCTATATC